CCTCAACTTTCCGCCTCAAATTTTGATTCAAGTCCCAGTTATTGCTGATTACTTAATGACTTTAAGTCAGTGGCGTTATGATATAATCTTGGTTCAACTTACACGATACAATAATATTATTGTGATGTATACCTATATTTTACTTAACGAGAGTCATCATTATAACGGAAAATCTCGTTGGAGCTGGCTTTTCACAAAGTTGTAAGAGTTTGTTAACCTTACTTCATTTAGACAGACGCTCTGTTCCCTATGACAACGTATTTCGTATATCATGTATCATTAAATGCTTTTCAAAAGCAAAAATTCCTCCTTTAATCGATGAAGACTGGCTTTCATCATATAGTCCATGCTTTCTCTCCCTATAACACCAGGTACATAATGTAGAGAGCAACATATAGTAAGAACTGACATATACCATTCTTTATCATTAAGACTATCTTAAATTGCTAAATCTACTCTATACTTGTCACAGGTCATTCTCTTCGCTGCGTTATTGGTATAGTTTTATGGCATCCCCATCAACGTTTTATAGGTTTCTCTTACGACTTGGAGTACTTTGCCTGAACTATAGGAATGAGGCGCAATTTGTCTTGGGACTCTAGATTTCTTATTAATCTCCACATATTTTAAAACAAATTCCGTTAAAGGTCTTTTGGACAATTATTTTCCTTTAGTTTGGAAAGAAGCATCAGATTAAATCTATGAACTTCTTCCCCCATCCTCTCTCTCCAACTACTTCTCTCTCTCTCTCTCTCTCTCTCTCTCTCTCTCTCTCTCTCTCACTATCCCCCTTTCAGCGCTGTCTCTGTCCGTCTGTCTGTCTCTCCCCACCCAATATCTTTTTGCATTGCTATTCCTTGGTTCGTAACTCTAAGATTATTTGAACAGTTCATGTTAACTTCGGTGCGAGTACAATTCTCCTGTGATTTAAGGTAGTTAGTCAAAGTGCCACATTTTGTGAGAACGTAGATTCATTCGTGCTGTCTTCATAGAGTTTTATATTTTATACTACAATTTGACATCCATTGCAGTTGGTCGCATGGTCATAACAATATAAAGGGTAAAGTAATATTTCAACCTACTGCTAAGTTCCTCTCTTCCAACATTCTTTCAACGTTCTTTCTTTTGAAAAATATTTGTGATGTGAATCTTCTCTTCGTTAACCTTTATTTCATTTAAGTTTTGATTCTTAAAATAGATTCTCATGTTCCCATCTCTCAAGTATAGACAAAATTAATAACGTTAGGCCCAATTTATCTGTTGACACTTTTTTCCCTTAAATTTGAT